CCATGTGTTGCTTATTGTAAATTATCTCTGACATCGGGGAGTGCCACTGTGTCTGTCAGCTCTGTATGCATGGCCTCAGGACATTTTCACACACTTGGCTCTCTCGTGCTTTCTCATTCCGCTGTAGACTATTTGCCAAAGCCTTTTTGTTTAAAGAGTACTGTTGGTTTTGCAGAATGCTTATGGGTTATTTTCTTCCTTACTGCTATTTCACTAAAACCAGAAATGGTCCAAACTAGGGCTGGGCTATATCATACCGTTTACGGTAATACCGGTGTAATGTTGGGCAACGATAGGAAAATGAAATATCGCGATAGATGGGTAAAATGTGCATGCGCAGTGCCTATGTTTACATACACACATGGCGGCGACGCAGAATGAGAAGAGCGAAAGTGGATCGTTAAATGAAACGGATGAACCAGAATTGGTTTGTAAAAATGCTGCAACTTCAGTGGTGTGGCACTGGTTTAGCTTTCATCCGTCAGATACACAACAAAGCACTATTTTTGGTAGAGCATGCTAGCGGGCCGTCGTTATTACCGTGTTTTTTTTGGAAAATATGGCACACTTAAAATCAATCCTTTGATTTTTCTGAAAATCGACAGTGCCCCTTATAATCCCGTGTGCCTTATGTATGAATTCTGGTTGTGTTTACTGACCTCGAAACGATTTTATGTGCACGGCGCTCGAAAATCAGTCAAATGTTTCAGTACGACTTTGCTAATCTACGAACCTGCACCGCTTGATGGATTGTCGGAGCACTGTCGTAGGCAGGAGCCTCGCGGAGTGATACGTACTGTGCTTCAACATAATATTACCGTATTGTGTGTGTGTGTATAACCTCTTTTTAAGTTTTGTGGATATTCTACATGGTTATGTTGAGGATATGTCGGCCAATTTCCACTGGAAAAGCCTTTTGGTTAAACTCTCAGCAAGGAATTTGCATTTGCACTGTTACATTTTTTTTATATAACTTTAATGCACTTAAAAAAGCTGCTGGTTTAAGTGAAAATACATTGATGTTTGTTTGTTTGCACTAATAAAGTTGAGGAGTTGTAAAGTATTTTGTCTAGTGTCAATTATATTGTCAGTTATATTGTTATTGTAAATTTTCAAATGTATATCGTGATAAATATTTTTGGGCATATCGCCCTGCTCTAGTCCAAACTAAATTTTTTGAGATGCCACAATAAAGGTCAGTTAATTTTACTTGGACTTCAGGGATAGAGATGGTACCCAGTAGATGCTCATTTTAAGACTGTGCTGATTTTTCGTTAATGCAAAATACTTGTCATGCATCCTATTTCATGTAAAAAAAAAAAGTGCTGTGGAAAAATGTAATCTAAATTAATTAATTTGCATATATAATTCAGGCTTTTTTACTGGCTCCCAATGGGACCCTGTGTTGAAAATATAAGTAAGCAAGATTGGTCAGCATATTGTAAAGGCAAAGAACCTTACTTAGTAGAATTCAGTGCATGTTATTGCTATTTCTGGTCATGTAATTAAAATGTGTAAAAAGTATGGTTTATCTTTGGTGTTCTAGGAAAAAAACACATTTTAAGTTATATTTAATTCCAAAATTTATAAAGGAAAACTAGTTGAAAAAAGATGAGGTTTGAAATAATGTAATACAACAATTTAAAGAATTTGGGAATTTCATTCAAAGTGTCACAGAATCTGGAGAAATCCTGTATGAAAAGGCTAACACACTGACACAACAATGTCTGTAAAAAAGGGCGAAGTTGTGGAATATTTTCACTATGTGATAACACACACTTCAATTGTGATAACCATTGTTGTTGATCTCTGCGCCTAGATGCCACCCCCGCTTGTTTTGCAACTGCCCCACCACCATCCACAACTTGTCTTAACTTGTAAAGCTCAGACCAGCTTCAGTTTTAATTGAAACACAGGTGACAACAATTAAGCATATTTTTGTAAAAAAAAATAAAATTAAAAAAATCAGTGTTGAGTAATTACAATGTCTAAATCGGATTATAATTGGGCTTTGATTTGCAACTGTGTCTGGCCAAGCGTTTCACTGCTGTGTCATCACCACTAATGCAAAAATGCAGGACGTGCATCTGCTGCCAAGGAATGCAAGCCCTTTGAGTTCAGTCAGCTGATTAACGTTGCTTTTATCATGTGGATTGTAACAGTAGGAATTCTGAGGCTGTAGCTCTTTGATCGTCACTGCAGCTTGTTTCATGTTTCTCTGTTTAAAACAAAAAATTACATTTCCTGTACGGTACCCCCTCATTGTGTACCCTGTTGTCATCCTCAGATAAATACAGAAAATGGAGGACTCCAACAGCAACAAGCCATTCATGGTGACATCCTCTCTGAACTTCAAAGTCACCACCCCTTCCTTCTACAACCAGCCAAAGAAGTTTGCTTCTGTGGCCCCCCCACGACCCAAAAGTCAGACACCTCCCTCTGCTCCATCACCAACACCAGTAGGCACAGGTGTTATTGGCCGAGTTGGAGACCTGCCTCCACCGCCCCCTTCACTCTGTTATGGTATTTACGTTTATTTTTGTCTGTATTAAGTTGTATCCACTGAAAAAAGCCCCCATTCCCTATCCCGTCCACTGCTGCTTCTTATGCTAGAGCATGCAGAGCTTCACAGTTGAGTACAGGATGGCTGTGGTGCTGTCTGTCTCTCCAGCACATTACATTACTGTGCTCTTAACGCCTGCCTTTTAAGGGTTCTTCTGAAATATGCAGATAGTCTGGGTGATCTTGCTTTTGTTGGGAAATTTCGTTTTTACTTATAGAGCTGTGCACAATTACACTTCTATAAATGCAAACAATCAGACAGTTCAAATTAAAGGTTGTAAGGATTTAAATGCAATGCATTTCCTACAAGGTAGGAAATGCATTTGGTTGTGTTAAGATGCCAAAAACGCATTTAAAGCCACTTTCGGCTGCATCTTTATTCACAAGAGGTCACCACACAAGTATCTCCAAATGTTTTATTTATTTATGTCGAATACCCTTCCTGACACACACCCAAAGAGTTTGTCTCCTCCTGCGATTGAACCAAGAGTCTTTTGCTAATCTAAACATGTTTCTTGTTTTATCAAAAAAACCTCCACAGGGCGCCTTTTAATGCATAAAGTACATAACAGGATACCTACCAGGCATCAGTGCAACAGCCAACCAGCAGATCTCAGTGGCCAAATATTCCAGACAGTTTTGATGCTTTCTTGTCCTGTTTTGTGTTAAATTGAATACTTGGACGTTATTTTTGTGAATGCTTTTAACCAATCATCCCTCCTCGTTTTTGTCAGACTTCCCACCCCCTCCTCCTCCACTGGATGATGATTTGCCAGCCCCTCCCCCTGAATGCTCCACCATTCCCACTGCCTCTGATGCTCCCCCTCCCGCGTTCCCCGCTCCACCTCCAGTGGCAGATGACCTGCCCCTCCCAGCTCCCCCGGAGGAGAGCCGCTGTCCACCCACCTGTCCCTCTCCCCCTCCTCCCCCTCCTCCTCCACCTCTCCCTGCCTCCAGTACCAATGCTTTCAGTTCTTCGGGGACCCCACAGGTGAGTCACAGTGGTGTCTTCATCCTCCTGCACACTGCTTCCTTCCTAACTGCATTTAAATATAATTGGATAATTATTTAGGACATTTTTGTGTGACCATATTGAGTCTGTGGACTGACTGTTGGCAGGAAATGCTGTCTTTTGAGATTTTTCCCACAAATTATATTAGCATTAGTCCGGGGTAAATCACCCACTTTCATTCGTCTAACAGGATTATTGCCAATTTACGTCACTAAAATACTTCTTAGGCATGCAGTGTGTTATGAGGTTTATTGTGGAGATGTGTATTGTAGGCTTTCATTAGTTCCAGTTTGATTGTTGGACTACAAGAGCAACATAAAGATGAATTATTTTTATTATTCTTTTTGGAAGTGCTAAAAAATGGCTGTAAAATAATATAAATATGATTTAAACCTCATGTTTGTATCAGCATTGAGTCTGTGCTAAATGATAATCAGCAAACAGCCAGATAAGTAATTGAAAATAAAATATTCTCTTTCATCTAACCAGAAATATTAACATAGCAAGCTTTTATCATCATTATAATCACCTTTTTAAGCTTGTTTGTCATCGTTCTTTCATTTTTGTGTTTTGTCACATCAGTAATTGTTCAAGCGCTGCATATTGTACCCACTTTGGTCACATTAGTTTTTTTTTAAGTATCCATATTTAATGTTTTTGCTGTGTATTTATAGTCTGTAACAAAGTAACCTCTTCAGCTACATTTCTGCTCCTCGCTCATCCATCCATCCTTTTTGCTTCATCGTGATTCCCCAAATTGTGTATATTAACTTTATTTCTGTGATCTCCATTCTTCCGCCACCAGAGATTCACGGAGAAGCAGACAAGTTTTGATAAACAGCTCAACTCTCTGACTGGCATGTTGTCTGAGATGGAGACCAAGGGACCTTTCCACCCCAAGGTATAATGCACAGGAAAATAAGGACTACAGTTTAAACATTTTGGTTTTCAAAATGCATTTAGTGGATAGCAGTGAATACAAGTGTAAACAACTGCCATGAAACTCCTTGGTCAGGTGCACTGGGACACATTTGACCATATTTCTTTTGTAGTGTAAATATAGATGTGTCCCCGACAGACGTAAGAGAAACAAGAACAATAATGGGGGACATGGTGGTGTTGTAGCTTGTCTTCACCCTTATATAGTGTGTGCTGATCTATTTTACCCTCTGAGCGAGATGTTGACATTAACAAAGTACTAACGGGTGGAAATGGCAATACGTCTTGGTTGTTTACTTGTGTTTAGATCCCTGAAATGGATTTAAAAGGCAAGTGTAAACAGAGGTTGCCTACAGAGCAAACAACCAGATGAGTAGCAAAATGACAAGACTCAGAGGAAGCCAGCTGTAGAAAAACAAACTGACTCCTGTGGAGAAGAGAAAAAGGTAATGCTACATGGGTCAGGAGAAATAGTTTGGGGACATACCAGGTCGGTTTCATTAGTCTCCCTTCGTCTGTTCAGGTGGAAAGAAGTCAATTAGTAGTGAACTGTTCGCACGGTGCACCAGACTGAAAGAGAAAACAAAAAGTGAGATAGCCGGTGATTCACACTGAGAGAAGAGACACTTGCAGAGAGGCAGAGTGATGCACGCAGAAGTGAGTGGAGAGCATGAGAGTGTGATGAAGCCAGAGTGTGCTGCCAGGGACCCAGTGAGAGGGCCATAAATGGAGAGTGTTTTTAATCCAACAGGGAGGTACTGGATCAAGGCAGAATAATGCTGGCTCAAAACCTGCAAAATAAATGTCAGAAAGACGAAGCACTTCTGATAAGCTCAAACTTTGGAGCGCCTCCAGTGTTTACTTTAATCAAAGTACCTCATTCAGTATTATGATAGTGTCTGCTTGTAGCATTTCACCATGCAGGGAATATTAACTTCCCTCAATTCAATTATAGTTCATGGTAAATCAGAAAAACTCCATTCTTACGTGAAATTAGCGTTGTTGTTGTTTTTCTTTTCTTTGCTTTTCCATCATGATAATCTTTTGTTTAATGTTATTTCACCCACAGATACCAAGCCAGTATTCATCAGCACCCAAGGTCTCAGCTCCTCCAACCGCTCCCAAACCAGCCCTTTCCTTCCTCCCACCTCCCGAGATGGGCGATCGCCCTCCTCCTGCGCCCTGGGCAGAAGAACTCAAAGCCAGAACGAACCGACAGGGCAATCACAACGCTGCGCCAAACTCTGCCGCTCAGTCTTTCGCTAAAGCGCCGGCCGTGGCTCCCAAGTCTGGATTCGGAGGAAGAACGACGACATCATCAGCTTCTCTGGCGCAAAAAATCAACCTGAACCTGAACCAGACACCCACCGCTGCCAGCAGTGCACCTAAGCCTTCCCCTCCCATAGCTACTTGCTCTTTCCCTCCACCTCCTGCGGCTCCGCCTGCACCTCCTGCTCCACCAAATAACATGGCCACTGCACCGGCTGCTAATCACGTAAAGAGTTCTCCCTTTGCCAGTCAGATGAACGCAAACCAAAACACTCCTTCTGCTGTGCCACCTCCTCAACCCAAAACGATGGCATCTCCGCCCTCCTCCTTTAACCAGCCAATGAAAACTACCCCTGCATCGACGGTATGTTCCTGCTTTTTGCTTTGCATGTACTGTGGAAAGTCACAGGAAGTACAGATAATTGATTGTCAGTAGATAGGAATGCTGGACATGCACAGTGTTTGCAAAGGTACAGTTATAAATAACAAAATCCTCTATAAGACGCGTATGAAACTATAACATGCCTTAAAAAAATTATACATATGCACTTATGGCTTCTTCCTCTTCTGTGGCAGCCCTCACCCCCGGGCCCAGTTCCTAGTGCAGGTGGAGGTGTTCCTCTGAACATGAAAGAAGTGGAGGAGCTGGAGAGGATGACCAAGGACTTCATTAGAAACATGGACGCGAACCCACCTCTCATCACCTCCCCTCCTACAGGTGCAGACACGAAACTTCAAATCAAAAGACACTTTTATTTCACTTGTATTTTGCATCTTTCTGATTTAATTAGAAAATAATTTATTATAATTATCTCCAGAGAGTGCACTGATGTGGCTGAATTTTGAATCTCATTGTTGTTAATTACAGTCATTAAGTAGCTGCTCGTTTGGAAAAACTTGAGTTGGTGGCATGGGAGAGGCGTTAACAAAAGTAATGGTTTAACTTTTTGATTGTTGATAATCTTAGTGAAATGAATGCAGGAAAAAATATTACCAATGAAATATTAATGTCCCAAACTGCAAATATTCAGCAGACATAAGAAATTATTCACCTTTCAGTTTGCTGACTGGTTGCAAAATGTAGATTTTTATGGACATCAAAATATATTCACAGTTTATCCTTTGTGATCTACAATTTAAATGTGGTCAGTTTTTGTCTCTCCAGTGTTACATCTATGACCCTAAAAAATAAGCTGCATCTTTGGGATAACATATTGACTGTGCAGAACAGTTTACACAAACCAAACAAATGCATAAAACTACAAGTTTCCCATCTGTGTTTATTACACTGTTGTACCAGAGCTGAGTAAAGAGACGGAGAATTTGCTTGTTCATAAAGTTGTTTGTGTATCTTTCTCTTTTCTTCAGAGGTTTGTGGAAAATGTGGTGAGGCTCTCTCCCGTACTCAGCCAGCAGTGAGGGCCATGGATAAACTCTTCCACTCCACCTGCTTCTGTTGCATGACCTGTCACCGCCCCCTGCAGGGCATGCAGTTCTACGACAGGGATGGTTCACCACAGTGTGAGGACTGCTACGTGGTGAGGAGATGCAGACATTTATTCATCTTATATTCTTGCTGAATTGAGTATATAAGGTGCACGTTTAACTAGTTTCTCACCTCCATTCTCCTCACATTCATGCTGTTGCTCCTCAGAGCTCCCTGGCTGTGTGTTCTCGATGTGGGGAGAAGATCACAGACCGTGTGTTGAAGGCAGTTGGACAGTGTTTCCATGCCCACTGTTTCCGCTGCAGCACCTGCTCTTGTGTACTTGAGGGGGCACCCTTTATCACTGATGACAACAACAACCCCTACTGTGTCCAGGATTACCACAGGTCACTATGGATTTCCACATAAAAAAATAATATATTTCTGTTAATTCCTTATGAGAAGTGATCATGTGGTGCAGTTCTTCTTGCAAACATTGTCAGAACAAGGATGTGTGGTTAAAACCAACAGTTAATTTTGGATTCCAGTATTTGTACCCATCTAAATGATCAGTGAGATAGTTTATGCTAGAGGAAAGAACACTTTAAAACCTCTTTCTCATTTTGATCAGATCGCTTAAAACTTTGTTTAGAGCTCACTCAAAATGTGTTTGACAAAGCCAACTAAACTTTGCTGCAACTTGTTGCCAGGCCCAGAAGCAACACACTTTATTACATCTCAGTGGAATATCACTGATTGTTTCAGTGTTCCCTCAGCTAGGGGTGTGAATGCATAAGAGTTCAACTGAGGTAATTAACTCAAATCCACCTCCCTTCTCGTAGGCGTTTCTCCCCTATGTGTGTGAGCTGTAATGAACCCATTATTCCAGCCCCGGGCAGCGAGGAGACGGTCAGAGTGGTAGCTCTTGACAAGAACTTCCACCTCAAGTGTTACCGCTGTGAGGTAAGACCTATACATAGTTGTTTTTGTTTGGGGTTTTTTTGTTGTTGTTTTTTTGTGTGTGTCACAGGGTGTTTCAGCTTCTGATAATCAATATTTCAATTACTTTGCAGGACTGTGCTCGCCCTCTCTCCATAGAAGCAGATGAAAATGGCTGCTATCCTCTGGATGGCAAGATCCTGTGTATGAAGTGCCACACCCAACGAGCCAAGCAGGCCGCGCACTGATTGGCTAAAGCAGCATCACTCAGTGTAACAATGAACCAAAAGCACAGGATTCACCCAGCTGCAGATTTTTTGCCTTTGCGACAGGGCTTTGTTCAGTATATGTGCGCAGGTGTGTGGGTGAATGTTCAGCGTGAATACGTATGTTTGCATGCAGATAAAGTGTAGTGTTTCCTTCGTCTTTGTTCACTTTATTCAGTGCAGAGGTAATGTACTGCACCGAAATTGGTTTTATTCCACATCTCCTATTCTCCAATCGCCCATCTCGCCTTCTTTGTTACTAGAGCCTTTTTTTTTTTTTTTTTTTTTTTTTTTTGTGCCAACTATATGTTTACGCTAAAAATTACCAGCAGAACTTGCACAAGAACAGTTGGGTCAAAAGAACAGTCTGATAAATATAAAGTTGCCTTTCTCTGTTTCTTGCCTAGATGTTGGTAGTAGCATCATAAACTGGTTCCACTGGCTGTATTCTTTCTCTTTGAGCATTTTAACTAAGCTTTTTGTGCCTGAGACCGAGGAGTGTAAGAAACCTCCAAATTGACAGTCATGCAGATGTCACCATCCTCGTTGCCTGAGAGTAGAGTACATCTTTTAGATTTCGGTAGTTGTTACACAGCCAGGCATGATTAATGACGCTTTCCTGCCTAGAAAGTACTTCATATCAGCTAGTCTACTCCTAATAGCATTTTAAAGTCGCGTAGGGCTTTAAGGCAACAGCAAAAAGAAAAATGGTGAATATTGCTTTGATTTTTTTTGTGATGTGAATTTAATGCTTTACAGGCATGCATTGAATTAACTCTTGTTGCTCTCGCTACTCGATGATATTGTATAAGGGCAAGATGAGAACAAAAATCAGCTTTTTTTTTTTTTTTTTTGCTTTTTTTTTCTCCTACAAAATAGTTTAGAGCTGATTGAACCATGCTAAGTATTTTTAGATGCATGCTTTGTGGACGGCGAGATTTCGTACAAACAAACGAGCACAGATTTCCCGAGCACAGACTCCATCCTGGGGATCTCACAATCAAAAACCGAGTTACTTTTAACTATCAGCTGTATGGCTGAAAACGGGACCTATCAAGTAATTTCACTGTGCAGGGGCCATTTTATTCAAAGTCATACTGAGAGCATTTTACACATGTGTAAATAAAATTGCCCCTGCACAAGGTCATTGTAAGCAAATAGAAACAAAACACCAGTGTTTGATGTGCATTTATTATTATCTCTTAGCTTATAAGCTTTGTATGATATAAATCATGGTCCTGTTTTTCCTAAGTATTAAGGTTGCATACGCAGCAGTACTACAATAACCTGTCCTGGCAGCAGGGCGATAGAAATGTAGAGGCATTCCAGTTCTAGGTAGCAATGTTTAAAAACACAGACCAAATCTTTCTGTTTAGAGCTTAAGATCAATAAAACGGTTACATGGGATTTGATGTTGTAACATTCAAGCGTGGTTTTTGTTTGTTTGTTTGACCTAAGTTTCTGGTCAGTTTCTCCCGTTGCCATGATTACCACTATTCTTGCCATTACTTAACTTTTGTACGTTTAGTCTGTTCGTGTCAGTTATATACTATTTTATTCTTTTCTTGCTGTTCTGTATTTTGCTAATTAAAGCTTACATTTATTTGGTTTCATTTTAACCTGGCGCTGTGCCTTCTCCATTATTCTATCCTATTGTTCCTTCTGAATTGAGCCTGGTTTGCAGCCACAGAAATGAATTCCTCGGTAAGAAAATTGCTGCTTGCGCTTGCAATTGAGCCTGGTGCAGTAAATCACCAGAATGACTAACAAAACATGGCAATAGTGATTCAGCATTGCATGCTATCTGTGGAAGCAGTGGTGGAATTTCCTCTAGTATTATGTCCTGTGTTTCCACCGACTACTCCACCTTTGTGGCCCTGCCTTTGTCATCACCATGTGATATAAACTCTACCATAATGCCTTCATGGCTGCGTTCATCGGGCATTGCATTGTGTTACATCCTATTGTATTACATGTGGATGCCTTGTCCTTTCATATAACTTTTTATACGTTTGATATGTGTGAATGTCTTACATTATTCTAGTCCTATCCATCCTTTTTGGCTGTATCAAAAAATAAAGAGAAATGTTAAATCCATGTCCCAGTCTTTCAATTTCAGTTATGTGCTAATATAATGTATACACCCACATCGCTGGGTACACTGCACCCAACTGATACCCGTGAAGCATGTTTTCTCTCAGACCCTCAATGTGGTTCACTGCTAGAGTTTGACTGCTCTATCAGTTGTAAACAGCCATATGTTGCGCTGATAATGACGACAGCAGACCTGTGTGCGTATGCATTTAAGCGTTCTTTCCAGGAAGAACTATTCACCCCGTTCCAATCCGATGCAGCAACGAATAAGCATAAGCAAGGTACTAGACTCAACTTACCACTACCTGCCTTGTTCTAAAGCTTTTACCACTACACACAGGAGTTATTCATGGTGTCACTGTAGTTCACAAATCCCAAAACATCCTGTCTGCTTAGAAGAACCACAGCATTTGCTTGATGAGAAGAGTGAGTCGCAGCCTGCAGAGTGGTTTTTATCAGTGTCAGATGAGGAGAGAAGTGACTGATGAAAAGAGATAGCTGAGATGACAGCTATTTGCCGGGGGGGGACAGGAGGCGGTAGACATGTAAAAGAGGATGTAACACGCTGGGAAAACACAAGTCAAGAATGAGTGAAACAGAGCTTGAGGTAAGATCTCAATAACAAAGTTGGTTATGTTGTTACCAAGCTGTTTTAGGCTAATGTGTATGTTGTAACTGCTGGAAACATGGCCGAGTCACTGTGCCTAAGAAATATAATATTTAAAGAATGTGACTTTGAAAGGGTGAAGTCTGCAGTCTCTGCAAATTAGACTTAAACTGCTCTGTGCAAAAGATTGTGCTTAAATAAATTACATGAAACTCATTAAGTTGACATACATGCCCACCTAATGAATTTCATGTCATGTGTAGCTCTTGATCACGCATTGTTACTGTTAAAAGTAGTTTTTACGTAGAAAAATAAAAATCACTTCAGCTGCACTATTGAATGTCTACGGGTATAAGCAAGTATTTTTAAAGTTATTTTAAAACCACTTAAAATTTAGCACACATTAGCGAAAATGAGTCACTCTTCCTTGTTTTATATTTTGTTTCCAAGGGCAAAAACTTCCTTTTAATTATTTATAGTGGTCTTGAGCAATAGTTCTCCAGGCTTTCTGAAGGTCTGTCTTTGGCCATTGGCTGCTCTTTTTTTTTTTTTACTTATTTTCATTCCAGTCCTTGTACCTGTCATTTTCAGAGCAATGCTTCTTTTTCTTTTATTTAAGTCACTTAACATTGGCTGAGAAATCACTCAAGCATAAAAGAGGCAACCTAGCAAATAGCCCATTTCCTTAATAGCCTGCTGAAAAAAACAACAAAGTATGTTCCCATTTCTATAGTTAAAGCCACAACAAATGTCAGAGAATTCACAGGGATAAAGCAGTAATTTTTCTATTAACAAGATGATTGCAGGAGGGCTATTAGACAAAGACTTGATATATATTGGCATGGTGTCCAGGGTATCCTAAAAGACTTTCTAAAACTGGATAAGCAGGTTACAAAAGATCTGACACAGCACCTGAGAGATACATCTGTCTATTTAGCTGCATCCAGAACCTGGGAGGGTTCAGCCTTCCCCTCTACTGCAACTGCTCACTCATTATCCCCACCAGATCCTGCAACAACTCGAGTCTGACCGACAGCGACTGCATATGTCATACTCTAACATCGAGCACCGAGTAAAACCAGTGTGGATGAAACATCGAAAATGGCTACTTTTCCTCTTAAGCTGCATCTTACTTGCTGGCATGGTGGGACTAATCAACCATCTGGCTCACCATTTCCACACTGGTAGGAGTTCAGAAAAACACACCAATACGAGACAATGAATTCACAATTCTGCCATTTTGTCTGACTTTTGTCTCACTCTTTCCTGCAGTTACTCCGTGTCTCTCTCCTGCCTGTCAGTGGGCTTCAGCCCGTCTCTCCACATCTGCTGATCCCTTCACGCAACCCTGTGATTACTTTCTGTTCACATGTGGATCAGACAGACTTTTGCTGGACAGTGAAAGGCGACAAAGAAGTCATGGTTTTACTTTACATGCAGAAAACCAAAGAAAGTCTGTGCAGTCAAAGCAGGAAGACGGAGGACTAAGAGAGAATAAAACACTGAGCAGAAAAGCTGTGTTGCTGCAGTATCTCAAGAAGATTTTAGGTATGAGTCTGTATTCAGTGGGAATTTTTTTTAAATGTCCTCTCTTGTGTGTGACTCCTCATTTCATGCTACCTTAACAAATGATCTAAATAGTTTCCTTTTTTTCCGGATCTGTATGTCAGAAACAGACAGCGGGATGAATAGTTCAGCAGTGCAGAAGACTAAAGGATTCTACAATTCCTGTCTGGATACAAAATCTATAGAAACTGCTGGCGCAGACCCCTTCCTCTCACTCATAAAGAAAGTATGATACTCATATTCCAAACATAGCAAGCTCTTCAAATCACACTTAAGCTTACATTGGTTATCATATGTGCTCATAAGACTTAATTACTTAAATTACCATTATGAACAGTATCCCATTAAATTTTAAAAAACAAACTGAAACCATCACCAGTTTTTTAATGATGCCTGTTGGCCTACAGGAGGTGCTGTAACTACATGAATCACTGTCATAACCTTAGTTGAGGTCAAAAAGAAAAACAAACAGTTTAGCCGAATTGTCTCCTTTGTAGTTCTACAAGATCTAAAATGATTAGTCAATTTGTAATTTGACCAAATTTTGCAAAGTCCACCTTCTAAAATGACAGAGATTGCTTGTTTAACACTCAATATCTGCTGCCCAGAAGAATCAATCAGTTTAAAAACATCCCCTTTGGGTTCAGGAGACTCCAAACTGTTTGGTTACATTTTTTCCCCCAATTTCATCTACTAATATTGTTTCACTGTATCTTCTCCGTACACAGCTGGGAGGCTGGGCCGTATCGGGGCAGTGGAATCAGACTGATTTCAACACCACCTTGGGATTGCTAATGAGAGACTACAATACCTTTCCATTCTTCAACATCTATGTGGGCAAAGACCCTTATGAAGCAGCACGTGGGATTAACAAAAAATACATACAGGCTAGTATGAATTAAGATGATTTAGGTTTTGCTGCTCTGAGAGCTGCCAGAGCAATGTAAGCTTTGTGTTTTTGCTTTAAATCAAGTCTCCTCTTTGCCAACAGATTGATCAACCTGATTTGTTGATCCCAATTGAATGGAACAGCAAGACAGAGAAGTCTAGAGCTAAAACTGAGGTTGAGTATCCTTGTTGATTCAGGAAATGTCTTTAAATGAATACAAAAACATTTATCCATCCAACTAAGGCCTTTCCTTTTGTCCTGTCTCTTTTATCTAGACTCTACGTCCTTTCTTGGCCTCGTGTCAGCAATACCTCAACCTGCTGGGTGCCCCGAAGAGCAGCAGCTTGATCCATGTGGGCTCTTTCGTCTCTCTGTCCTCTCAGCTTGCTGTGGCATCTTCACCCCTGGACTCTCGCCTGTCCAAAGGACAGCTCTACCAGCACATGACCATCAAAGAGCTACAGGTAAAGGATTTATGTTTCTTTGTGCTGTGCTGCTCTTCTGATAGAAGCAATGTCGGTGCATACTGCAGAGACAGAAGTTTTACCTAAATCAATTACAGATGATACCATTATACTGTACGTACTATTAGTTAGTAAAACGTACCTACAAATTAACTAGAAAAACAATGACAACTATATTTTAGCAAAAATGCAAATACATAAATAGGACTGTACAGAAAGGATGCTATAGTGCATGTGTTTAGTGATATTTGGTCCACATTAACTTGAGTCACGTTTTTGTATGTTCTAAACACCTTAATACCCTGCAGAGGTCACCAGTCCATCACTTAGCGAGCACATAGAGGCAGAGAATCATCATGCTCACACTTAAACTGAAATTAAACAATAAATACATTTAATTTAAAAAACAACAACAACACTTTGAGTACCTGTTGTCTGGATACATGTGATAACAGTATTTTTTATATGGAAATGTCCCTACAGAGACAAGCCCCTGCTATTGATTGGTTGGGCTGCCTCCAGGCTGCTTTCTATCCCCTGCCCCTCAGCGCAGATGACGATGTCCTTCTGCATAACTTACCCTACATCGTGCAGATGTCCAACACCATCATCAAATGGCAGAACAAGCCTGAACTGAGCAACAGGTACTGTAAAGTGACATAAAAATGACAAGCACATCCTTTCTCTTTTTTATGCTTATCTTTGTTGCTGGGTCATTTGTTTCCACTCAGCGCTCCCCTTCATACTTTTATGGTCCTCAATCTGCTGCACACCCTGATGCCTGCCATGGACTCCAGATTTTTTGAAACAGCAAAGAACTTTTCTATGGCTTTGGGTAACAGTGAAGAGGTTAGCCGAATATGCTACAGAGGAAAGAAAAACTGGATCTGTGAATTGATTGGTTACTGTAATATCTTTATATTTTGGCTTTCCACCAGGAAGCTCCTCGCTGGAAACACTGTGTGCTGGAAACTGAGAGAGGATTTGATTCAGTTCTCACACATCTTCTCAGTAAAGTGACAGCACAGAAGGAGGTGAGGAGACATCTTGAGACCTAATGAATTCAATAGAGAGAAAAGGTTCTGTCTGATAATCTGTCTTTTAACTCTCCAATAGGCAGAGAAGATTATTCAAAGTGTTTTTCACTCCTTCAAGTCCAAACTAAATGAGTTTGAGTGGACAGATCAGACATCTCGTCAGCTTGTCATGGAAAAGGTAACGAGTGAAGAATTTGTTTTCTTTTTTTAATTTCTTCAGAAACGAACGATTTTTAAGTTTGATATTTGTTTAACGATTCTACAGGTTGATTCTGCAATTCCAAAACTATGGACTACAAAGGAGCCCTCTAGTGAAGCCAAGCTTGACCTGCTTTTTTCGGAGGTACATCAAAAACCTCTTGGTTTAATGTCTTGATGGCATTTATCTATGTGGGACTTAAACTATATCTCACTCAGTGCTGTCAGAGAGAACTCTTTAGGATCCCAATGTCCATCTAAGTTTTAATTTGATCTGTTTGGATCTCACCTCAGGTGAAAATTCGCCACTTAATTCAGTAGCCTGTGTGAGAGTCGAGCCAGCCTCCCTAGTTCTATTAGTTTTTAGTTTTATTATACCACAGAGTGACAGGTGGTGTGGAAAGGGCCCTCCACTGGAAAATAATGAGCTTACGCCCCAACATCAATGCAGTCTGCACCTGTTCGGCAACATTAGGTGGAAGATTTTTGAAGGGTGATGGATTCCCTAGATTTAATAGTGTTGGCAAAAAGGGATTAAACAAATTTGTGAATCTCTGTCCAAAAATTTGGTGATTTAGGACAGCTGCAAATCATGTGGGTCAATGTGCCCACCCCAGTCGGACATTTCCAGCATTCGGGGGTCTGTATGAGGTTCGCCCTGCATAATCTGTTGGTGACCACTAAATTCGGTGTAGTAGTTTGAACTAAGTTAGTCTTGTTCTAAGTTCCCTGGACATCTTTTTAATACTCTGTAGATTCCTGATCAGTAAGCGCTACACTAAGGTCAGTTTCCCAGGCTCGTTGCAGGGTGGTGAGCCCTTTATCCATGTGTTTTACAAGCACTGAATAATATTTAGGGACCTCACAATTTCCCTCAAAGACTTTCCCAACATAGGTGAGATAGCCTATAGTTAAAGCAGGTGTGGAGGGAGATCCAAAGATCATGAGGAGTAGATGTAGACTTAGAATAGCTGCAAATATTTCAAAAACTGTCTCTGTGGCAGCTGAAACTGTGTCCCCCGTCACATAGATCTCCAAGAACAAGAATTCCTCTCTGAACCCAAGTCTCCAAAGAAATGGAGCCTTTTTAATGCTAAATTTGGGGTTAAGCCTTATAGAGGCCTCAGTGTGGAGGTGCATTTTCTTTGTTTTCTTTGTATTATTGTAAGGTATTTACCTTACAATATAAAGCGCCTTGAGGCAACTGTTGTTGTGATTTGCTGCTATATAAATAAAACTAAATTTAATTGAATGTTTATTTATCATATAGAAAATCTGTTAATGCCGCAATAATGACATTAAACTAATGGTAAAACTGTTACCACGAATCTCAACTTTTAAATACTATGTTGACATCACTGGTTTTGGAAAATAAGGATTAAAAAGTGTAGAAATAAAGCCAAACCACTGACCTTCAAATATCTATAATTTCAGATGATAGTCAGCAACCAAAACTTCTTCTCCAACTATGTCCAGCTTCTATCCCTGCGGCAGAAGAAACGCATTGAAGTCCTGATCACCGAGCCTGAGGATATTGATATGTAAGTGTCAGCTTAAAGCTGATAGCTGCCAATAATCTGGAGTGTGCATTAATCTTTTCACTTTTCTTTTAGACTGTCTGTCACACCATTTCTCTTTGGTAAAAAGCTCCTCTTTCCCTTGGGAATGTTTGTACCTCCACTTTTCCATCCAACCTATCCTAGGTAACACATACACTCACTCAATAACTATTAAATGCCTTCCATTGTATTTTTCAAATAATTCCAGCATTGGACTTCTTCTGTAAACAGAGCCATTAATTATGGTGCAGCTGGTTTCCTTGTTGCTAAAGATATCCTCCACCTGCTTCTGCCTGACAGTAAGAGAGATTCACTTTCCTCTTCTTCATTTACTACACAAAAAATACATTTTGCTTTTGTTAGTAATATTATGTATATTTATCTCTGCAGTTTCGTCTCAAAGTAAGACCGTGAATGCTGTGGGTGAATGTGTGTGGACTCACTACCTCACAGTGTCAGAAAAGGCAGGCAGAGGTGGAGGGTTTCCGCTGTCAGCAGCACAGCAACAGGAGGTGTGGGTGCAGTATACTGCACTGCAGGTAGCGCTGCAGGTGAGGATCCATTGTCAGGCTTTAGTGTCTGTTTTTAAGGATGAGATCAAGTTTACATGTCTTCGTGTTATCTGCCTTTTTTTTCTTAGGCTTATCATCAGAATCTAATGCAACAGCCTAATGACACGTCTCTCTCAGGAATCTCATATACTCGCTTGTTCTTTAGATCCTTTTCTCAGGTGATGTACTTTCATTACTGTCTTTTCTTTTTCTGCTTTCCTCCCAGCTACACTCGAGTGTAATTCCCTGTAATGTGATTTATTTGCAGATTAACTGTGAAGCTGATCCATACCGTGACTCCATGCCTTTTAAACCCTCCTTCTTGATCACAGTCATTTGTGCCAAATATAACCTGTGTCCTACAAGCCCGCAGTGCTCCATTCAAACCAAGCAGAATTCATTACAAGCATGCTGACCAGTCTCCTCTGATTTGACATAAAAGGTGTACCTACCATAAGTGGGCTACAACCCAAAGCACATTTATGTATTTGCTTTTGTTGTAATTGTTAGGTTGTGTCTGCATGTTGTATAATTGCGCAAGCGGTTTAGTTTTGTTTGTTTTCATTTTTTGAAAACTGTTGAAACCTTGTTTCCAGCTTTGCTTTCAGTGATGAAAGTTGCCAGAAAAGGGACATTGGATTGAACAACAAAGTTCTCCTACTTAAAGATGATTTTGTTCATTTAACTTTAACCATCTTGAGTGGAAAAAGTAAAAGTTAAATTCAAAAATGGCCTCTTATTTTAAAATAAAATCATCCGAGATGAGTGGGAAAATGTATCTTTGCTCAAACTTCATATAAATAACATAAACGTGTAAAAAAAATCCATGAATTCTGAAAAATATCCCCACCTGACCCGCAGCGTATCTTCTGATTTCTGTACACTAACTTTAAAATGTAAAACAGTTCTGCAAATTGAAGTACATAATTGTATACATAAGGAATCAAAGCTAGAAGATGAACCTATCAAAATGTAGTTAGTAGAAGCCATATGCACCCATCTGTCCCACATGGTAATATGACCTGAGAAAGATGACCCAAAATTTCCTCTAGTTATTATTAGAAAACACATAAAACATCAGGATAGCAATGCTTGTTTCTCTTCAGGGGTGTCAAACATAAGGCCTGGGGGCCAGAATCAGCCCAACAAAGACTCTAATCCAGCCCATTAAATGGCTTTGGAAAATGTGAGATTTTTAACTGTATTTTAGAGCTTTTCTTCTCCCATGGCAATTCACACTACACCAAAATGATTACGTTATAAATTTATGTATTTTACACCTTTATTTCTTATCATTTAGGCCCAAAGAATCATCTAGAGAGATTTCTTTCATTTACTACAGCAGCATTTCTTTATTATGTAAGTGAAGTGTACTTTTAAAATTGCACTTTTTTCTTTTTCTTATATAAAATCATTTGACATCCCTGCTCTACATCACAGACATTAAACTAGTGCAATTTCACTTTTTAAACTAGGATTTATCCCATGATGTTGATGCTCAAAGTTGCTTACACACAAACACACACACACACACACACACACACACACACACACACACACACACACGCACACACAAAATATATTGAACAAAAGTTAGACTTTGGCTTCAGAATGTTACAATTGGAAGTGGGTTTAAAATTCATTTGGCTTCATTTAGGTGAGCAAACATGTGTTTTTGAGCCCTGAAATGCAGTGACTAAAAATATCTGGTTCATAGTAACAATGTTGCTGATAATCAGTGTTTGTGTTTATTGTACTTTTCTATCCAACTGCTTATCCAAGGATAGGATGGTGGGGGTGCTGGAGGCAATTCCAACTCTTATGAGATGAGAGGCAGCATATACCCTTCACAGTCTTCCAGTCCATCATAGGGCTAATATAGTTACACTCAATTCAGAATGACTAGTTAAACTGACAGGGATGTCTTTGCACTGTGGGGGGAAGCTGAGGCACCAACATTTCTGTTCCTATCATTTATTTGTCTTTATCGCCTATAGGTACATGTCATGTAATGTCTATTTTCATCAAATGCATGCACTCAAAATAAAGTAGTCAAAAAAAACCTACTTATTGATACTTGAGTGGACCCATCAATTATTTTGAATAACTTCCTGACTCAGTTAAGGCTCTGGACCAGCAACTGAAGAACTGTTATTTTTCAAAATGTCACAAAATCAGCATTCCTATTTTAAACTCTGACCAATACCTGTCAGTGAAACTCAGTAGAGGAGTTTCCATCATTTCAGATTTCTTCCTTAATTATGAAATAGTGTGTAAACCTCAAAAAATGCGGAGGAAAGCCACTGTTACAAACTCCACGCAGCTGAGTGCACTGGGAAATGGTGCGAGCGAGAAGTCAGAAGAAAACACACATTTGAAGGTGATAAAACAGATAGAAAGACCTTCTAAAACTCCAGCTGGGAAAGGCCTCGGAAAAGCAGGAGCCAAACGTTTGGGCCGACTACTGAAACGAGCTATCCCTAACCAGGATGAGGCGACAGGAAAGGCGAACGCTTCTCTTCCCAGTGAGTCCCTGACGGTTCAGCTAAAGCTAAGCTAATCAGCCAACTGCTGAGGCTAGCTAAATTAATCCAAATTAAGAATTTATGTGTCTTTGATTTTAATTATTTTTAAATCTGCTTTAGATTTCAAACAATAAAAAATAATACTATGACACAGAATTTATTTCCAGGGTCTTTCCTGGTTCAAAATGGGTGGGGGGGCTATGCATTTTAGCAGCTGTTGATGAAGATGTTAAGATTTAGAGTACATAAAAGGGTCAGCTCAGTTTGGAGACAAAGTTATAGAGGCAAGGCTGAGAAGGTTTGGACATGTGAAGAGGAAGGATAGAGGATATACTGGACAAAGGATGCTGAACATTTAGCTGGTTCATAACAAAATACAACAGTGAGAATGGATGGAGACATTTGTACTATACTATAACTGGTTTGCACTGATCTGTGATTTGAATGTTATTTTCTTCATTGATTTTTCAGAGACTCCCGTCCGGCTTTTCAAGCATCAGATTCAAACAGAGGCTGGAAATGCACCCAAGACAAATTCCGCAAAGCCAACCTCGCCTCACATCTCCCAGCTCATCCTCAGTGTGGTTTCCCAGTGCAAACACAGAGGCGGCATCTCCATGGCAGAACTCAAACAGATGCTGGCAGCTGGAGGCTATGATGTGGCCAAGAACAACAGGCGAGTGAACATAGAGACCAAGAGGCTGGTTAACAACGAGACACTTGTACGAACTACAAGAAATGCATCATTCAGACTCAACCATAAGGTAATGCACCTTTAATCTTTGGTAACTGGTATTAGTTCAACTAAATGCAGCACTGCTGCGTGTAAGTTATGCATGTAGCTTATTGGCATTGTGGCTAAAAAGTGATTTTCTTGCCCGTGTGTTGCAGTATTACAGTGAGATTCTCAAAACAATTTCATGTCACATTAACTTTTACCCCCCGAAAAATAGAAGCTGACAGACATAATTCAAGTAAGGACGATCCCAGTGAAGACTCCAAAGCCAAAAGCAGAGCTGAAGCTGACTCCGAAAACAGCAACAAGCAAATCCCCCAAAGGAGCAGAGAACCAAAAGAGACGAGTATTAAAGCCAAACCAAACCAAACCAAAGAGCAAATCACACCAAACAAGGGCAACACCTCGAAAAGTTAGATCACCCAAACTAAAACCTAAGCCTCGCAGAATGGCGGTCACATCACCCAAACTAAAATGCAAGCCTCGCAGAATGGCGGTCACAGCGCACAAACTAACACGCAAAACTCGCAAAGCGGCAGCCAAATCACACAAACAAAGAAGGAAGACAACCAAAGGAAGAAAATCACCAAAACCTGCTGGCAAGAAACGCAGACCTGCAACAAACAGGGGCGCACGAGTTCGAAAGGTACCGAGGAAGGCTCAAAAGACTCGGAGACGCCGACCAAACCAAGTTCAAAATCGACATAAAAAGCAAGCAAGACGAAGGCTTCCAAAATCAAAGTTGAGATCGAGGAAAGGCACTTACTACTACCGCTAGGCTGAGTCTTCATGGTAAACAGTAATAAACAGAACCCCTTTTAGCATCCTGAAATACACGTAGTTCTATGTTGTGTTTGTGTTCCCATATCATTTTTTCTTCACTTCACTGTACAGACCATAGATCGCATAAAACATGGACAGTTTTCAGATACAAGTTCTGAAAAGTGAAGCTTCAGTGGAAACTTGTCTTTCTTTTAAATGCTACTTGAATGCGATACCTGTGGTTGCAAAAATATCATGTATTGAGGTCAGACAGACATGTGATCATTAACCATGTGATTGCCATTTTAAATGGGTGATAATGTAGGATCAAGTGAATAAGGCTTCAGTCACACAAGCCTAGAGACAGTCTGTGGCTACCTGGCAACCACCAGTTGTGATTGAAAAATGAGTATTCCCTGGCCTATTATGAGTGGTTGTTGGAGGTTGATGGCAGTCTCTGGGACATTGATTGCTAAAGTACCCGACACACAGGCCTACAGGCTGTCAGTGATCTCCCTGGCAATCACCTGTTGTTAGGGAAAAAGGGTATATTTCCAGCATAAACCTCCTTGTGAATGCTTTGATCAGCAGCACATTTTTGCAGTTTGAATGGAAGTGATGAACTTATTGCCTTCAAAGTAAAACTTGCACCCTTTGAAATATATTGGCTGCAGCACTGAGGCTGAACTTTATTCTGAGGGCAAACATTCGCCATTTGCATTCTTTCAAGTTTTACTACTGCTAGACTAGTAGTTGGCAAATGCTGGCAGATAAACTAAAACTGCAGGCAACCATGGCAATCTGCTAGTAACCAGACCAAAGTGCTTTTAATGCAGCACCTTCTTTGCAACTGATTTTATCCTGGGAGAGCCGGCAACCTCGAGAAACCACTGTCAGCCAGTTGGAGAATACACGTCCCTAGCAACCAGTGATTGTATGACACCCAATATGGACTCTAAAAGCATTGTGCACATGACGTCACTTGAAAAACCTCACTAGGAGACAATTGCAAAACAGCTCTTAGACTTGACCTCTGAAGTCTTTAGAGGTCAAGTCTAATAAACTCTTGATGAGTTTATGGGCTGAGTCATGAGGCTTGGGTCATGTTGAATAAAATGTTATGTCATTTGTCAAACTGATCATTTCAGAAGGGAGTATTTTTCTGGTATCGTGGTTTCACAGTCAATTCTGTCTCTCATTACATTATCTTGATGCTTCGAAGCAGGACTTTATAATCAGTGGGTGACATCAAAGTAGCGATGTCCATCTTGTAGTTTATGGTTGTCTATGTGTGAAACTTTGCACAAATCAAGAGCAGTCGTTATTTAGTCACACATTTTAATGTAACTACAACAATCCATAATCAAAACTGCAATTGATACTGGTATAAAAATAACTGCCATGCTCCTGCATGGAAAAGGAACCAATGTGTCTTCCACATGGTGCTCACATGCCATCGAATACATATACAGGACAGTGTATAGCAGGATAGAACATTGGGCATCAGTGGACACTCAGTCCAGTATTTCTAGTGCACTGAAATAAAGTCCATATAGTCAACTGTCTCTTTCCAGTCAGCATCAGCACTTTTCTATCCGTCACAGGATGCCCCACACCTCCTCAAAGGCAGAGCACATCTTGGCACAGGTCAGTGCTGCAGACAGGGGGTAGTTACTGATGGACACTGTCTTCTCTGTGTAGTCCACGTTAACCTAATAAGGACAGAGACATCAGTAACACACAAGGAGTATTTGACATAACTGTAACAGACTAAAAGAGTCTGTAAAAGAGAATGCCTCAATATATTTCTCACCGCTCCATGTGCGAATGCTCCAATCACCACTGCAGCTGGTCCCTCTGGTACCAAAGTCCGTGGGCACACGGCCTCTCCTGAAGAGAAGGAGGTGCTGATACGAGGGCAGCCGGGAGGTAGGTGATCAGACACTGGATTTTTAATCATCCTCAGGAGCTTCTGAGGACCATCAGCAGCCCTGACACTCAGCTTGTGCAGCAGCTGAACTAAGAAAGTAGAGAGAAGAAAGAAGAATTAGGAGAACAGTAATGGAGTGAAGGCTCACTTAAAGCCAGAACACATGGGAATAAGACTTAAGTACAATGCCTACAGCATGATCAGTATGTGTATTATCCATGCAGAAAAAATAACAGTTATAGTTTACCCATAAGGCCACAGAAACGTGTGAATGTTCTTGGGATGCGGGTCTGCGGGTTGATCTCGATTAAAGCGTTTTTCTCTGTGTGGATGTAAACCTGCAACAGCCCCGCCCTGTTCAACGGACTGTCCATCAGCATGAGCAAACACTGGAAATACACAGTTCAAAGTTAAAACCATTCATACAGCCCTTCATCACAAACATGCCACTACGCTTTATATAAGAAAACACAGACATAAAGGATAAATAAGAAAAAACACTCTAGTTAAATTTCAGACTTGATGTATTGATTTTTATTTCAATTTAATTTTACAATTTAGTTTCAGATTGCCTGCAAAGTATTTTGTTTCATTTTTCAGTTTCCTTATTAAGTGTTAGGCCAAGATATAAAAAGTTCAGGTAGGTAGGTATTACAATACAAACAAAAGGCAACTGACTCACAATCATGTACATATCCCTGTCTCAATAAAATGCGCACAAAAGCGGCTCATGTCTGTTGTCCTACTTTTATTTTTGATAGTTTTTTTGGTTGTTTTGTTCCTAAAGTACTTCTTACACTACTTCATATTATTCTTACACTACTTAGTACTTTTTATTCATACTATACTGTTATATATGTGCACTATTCAGATTAGTGAAATATTACTGATGCAGTAGTATCAAAAGTCAGCTAATGAAACATGCTGGTTTTGTTTTTGTCTCTCAGTTACACTGTAATAGTTCCTAAGTAGTAGGATTTGAGCAGGTCCAGATGTTAGGGATGTTGAGTCAATGATACTGTATTTCTGTAACTATTAAAAAACCCCAATATGTCACAGATTATAAATATCACAGACTAAGACAAATTAATATGAATTAAGACCACAATACTGTGGATACAATAAGTACCAGAGTAAGGAGCACTAAAAAGTAATCATAAGGATCTATTTATTTCTAAAGGGGACTTTTGGAAAGCGTTAGATCCCAGAAACCATGCTACGCAAAAAAAAAAGAAAGAGAGAAAAAGATATGAATATGCTCTTTTAGCGCTTTGATTCATACTGGGGGAGGATTGCTCCCCAGATTACTTTTTAAATGCAGAAATAAAACTAAATGACAGGCTTGATGCTCAGTACTGTGCTATCAAACATGTACAGTATGTTTGATAGCACATAATTGCAATGACTTAAATGCAATGAAACTCCACTCTGGTTAACTGCGACAGACTGACAAACACAAGTGACGAATAAGGCTGTACATTATTATTGAGGAATGAGTGTTTACCTGATGTGTGATATCTGGTCTTATTTTTCCGGGATCTCTTCCACTTTTGATGATCATATTTTTGTGTTGGTCGCAATTTAACAGCTCAAATGTTTTCCCGACCTGAAATATGAAAAACAAGCCAAAAGCATGTATTAACTCGCCTTAAGTTAAGTTATTATTAAGCATCGTTGTTGGTGTCACTTCCACTAAAAACGGGTAGGGGTTGCATCACAACAACGCGCAAAGACAGCTCCATAGCGCCTTACCTTCACCGTCTCTAACGACGCTCCCTCCAGAATAACCACCAGCCTCCTCTCCGCCATGCGGTCGTGCAGGCTGCGGAGATGTTTGGCTGGTTTAGGTTCATATTCGTCCAAATGCTCAAGACCACGCTTCTTCCCATTACCCGCCGCCATGATGCCTTCCTCTGGACTGTCGCAGGAAGTACACGTCACTGCAGAGGTGCGCGTTCACAGGTGAGTGTATTGCACATAAAAATTTCATTTGTGGGGTTTTTATGAAGGTAACTAGATTTTGAATATGTAATTATTTGGTAAAAAATCAGTCAGTTTTATCTTAATAAAATAAAACGTGTTTCCTCAGCGCCCTCGTTCTGCGCGCGCCACCCTTTCGTCACTATTGTGCGCCGGATGTCACGCTACAACGTGTTGAAGGAAATTTCACGTGTAGAAATTTTCGTCCTGCATCGCTCCACAATCACACTATAATTAGTGTCTGCGGACCTTAAAGTATCCGGTTTATTGGTGAGTATTTGAAGAATCGATGCTGCGATTCGCGCTGCAGCTAAAGAGCGGTTCAGTGGCGATAAGCTTTGAGTTGTAAGGGTATACTTTTTAAAACTGTGCGGTCAGGTAATGGCTGTGAAACTGGTCACAAGTTTTTAACGAGGCTGTTTGATAACAGTCTGATCATACATTAATATTTAAACAGTTTAATCCCCAGCAGATGAAGTGGGAGAATTTGTAATAAACGGTTTATCATTTGTTATAACCAAACATATTTATTACTGTTTCAACAGTAAAGAGACCCTCTCTGTAACACTACATAATTTAATCACTGCTTATAATTATAAAGAGCATTGGTTGTGTTGGAGCTGAATTTATTGTACTGATGTTGGACGGTTTTCTTTCCCGCAGATCTCCATCCAAAACAGTTTTACTTTTTTTCTTCAATGACGCTCCTCTCTTTCAAATATACTGTATTTTTGGTTTTGTCTTAGGGTTTTAAAACACTCTTGCTGTGTTTTCTTTTTCAGACTGTCTGTGTAGAAGGAAATCATGGGTCGGAAGTTGGATCCCTGCAAGAAGTTGAAGAAAGGTCCGGGTAAAAAAACCCGGAAGCAGCAGGGAGCAGAGACAGAGTTGGCCAAGTTTATAACTGATGGTAACTATCCCTTTCCAAGTCAAAAGTTTCTGTTTTGGAGGTTTAGTAAAACACGCTGTCAACATTGTGTTATTTTTTATATTTAATCTTTGCAGAGGACACTGGATCAAAACGTCTCTCAAGTAGAGCCAGAAAAAGGTAAGAGGTGGACTGAGGATGTAACATGACATAAAGCAAATGTGTTTACAAGCTCCTAATTCATGTTAAAATGTTTCAGAGCTGCAAAGAGAATCCAGAGTTTGAAAAAGCCCAAAGATGTTGCTGAGGAAAAGCCTAAGAAAGGTAAACAATTAACTTTTGCTCAGTCTGGTCAACGCATGATTTAAATATTTGCCCAGATGCAAGCATGAGATTGTTGTTTTGATGGACCATCCTTCTCCAGTATCATTACAGCTATGTAAGCAGTTGTTTATTATTGATTATCAAGGGCAATTATGGGAATATCAGCAAGGGATAATGGTCCAAGGTGAACAGCCAGACTAAATGTGATTCATAAGCCTTCTATGGAAAAACAAGGATTGAAACATTTTACTTCACCCGGATTGAGGTTTCCGCGGCTCGTTGGCAGCATCTGCTGTTCATCCTCTTGGGTCTCACCACCTGAAGGAGGGGCCCAAGGGGTTCAGTGCTATGTCGATCAGGAGGTGGCCTTGTTAGTCTAATCCCAAGTTACTGAAACTGGTTTGTTAACCTCAGAATTTTGTTTATGAGTGAAGGGAGACAGGAGCAGGAGACTAGCAGAAGTATTGGTGCATTAGCAGTTATGCAGCTCCTGTACTGGTTTACTGTTGTGTGAGCTTTGGGTAGTGACTGAAAGAATAAGATTGGTGATATAACCAGCAGAAATGAACTCCTTTTGAAGGCTGTCTGGACTCATCCTTAAAGTTCACGGTGAGGAGGTTGGTCATTCAGGAGGGGTTTTGAGTGGAGCCATTATTCCTGCACATGGAAAAAAGCTAGTTGAAGTGGTTAGGGCATCTCACCAGAAAGACTCTTTGGCACCTCCTAAGTGAGTTGTTTCAAGCCCGTTCCACTGGGAAGAGGTCCTGGAGCTATCCAGAGGCTTTTGAGCTTGCATCTCTCGGCTGGCTTGCTAACAGCTTGGTCCAGTCGTCAGTCCACTCACAATCCTGATAGGAAAACCGAAAGGGAATGGAGGGAGGGATGGATGGATATTGATTATTAATGCATCTTGTATGTGTCATGATTTCAGCAAGGAAATAAATGAATAAATACACATATATTTACAGTTTTGTCTTTCTTTCTTTCTCCCTAAAGGGTTCACAGATGAGAACAGCAAATGGTTGAAACCGTCAAAGAGGAAGCGCAAGATTGATGAACAAGAAAGTGAGGATGACAGTGATGAACACTGGGAAGAAGAAGATGATGATGAGGAGGAGGAAGAGGAAGAAAAGGTTGTAGAAAAGAAGGGAGGCAAAGACCAGCAGAAGAAGGGTGTAAAAGGAGTGAAAAAAGAGGCCGATGATGATGAAGACGATGATGATGATGATGATGATGATGATGATGATGAAGGCGATGATGATGATGAAGGCGATGATGATGATGATGATGATGATGACATGGTTGATGACTATGGTGTTCAGGATGACAGCGATGAAGCAGCAGAAGATGACAGTGATGGAGAGGATGTATGTGCTCTTTCTAACCTTTTTTACCCTTTTTAATTTTAATTTTTTTAGTTTTATTCAGAAGCTGAAACGAAATATTCTTCCAGCCTGGAAATGTGAAGTTTGAAGCCTCATTTTATTAGAAAATTTTCACTTATGAGCTACAAAATCGGGAGAGTATTCTGTTTTCAGTGGCACTAGGCCTTATTACAGTTACATTTTTAAGAGAACATTGTAGCAGAGGCTGGTTAACTTAGAGCTGTTTTTTGTTTTCTTTTCTACCTCCAGCTTCTTCCCATTGAACGTGCAGCCAAGAAAGAAAAAAAGCAGAAAAAGTCCAAGGCTCCTGATAGTGATGAAGATGACGATGATGAAGAGGATGAGGATGATGACGAGGAGGAGGAGGAACAGGAATCTGATGCTGACATGGATGAAGAAGATGAACTAAAAACAAACATTGACGAAGAAGATAAATTCAGGCTTCCTAAACCAGAGGAGGGTGAGTTTCAGTGAAGTTTTTGTCTTTTAGAGCAGCAAATGTGCAAAAAGAAATTCTCTGATTTTCTACAAACAATCAAAACGTATTTTTTTGGTCCACATTTTCTAGGACTTCTGCCTCTAGACCTGAAGGCAATCTATCAGCGGATAAAGGACAACATTGACCTCCTGTGCAATTTCTCAACAAAAAGAGAGGAGGGGAAAGACCGAGCAGACTACATCTCACTTCTGAAAAAAGATCTCTGCACCTATTACAGCTACAACGAGTTCCTCATTGAAAAATTTATGGACCTATTCCCTCTTTCAGAGGTGTGTTTTCTTCCGTGCATGGTTTTGGTTTGTTTTTTTTGGGTTTGTTTGTATGTTTTTTCATTAAATCCTGATTTAAAAGAATTCATGGATGCATTGATTTAAACATGCAAGGTCTAGCTGAGAATATCTATTTGACTCCAAACATTATATTTTCTTTCTGCCTTACAGCTGGTTGATTTCCTCGAGGCCAATGAAATTCATAGACCTGTCACTATTCGAACCAATACACTGAAAACAAGGAGGCGGGACCTTGCACAGGTAGGTGCCTGATCTTAAGAGACATGGACAAAATTGGCATTTAGAATGTTTTAACAAGTTAAAATACATAATGTGTGTCATGACTGTTAGCTATTTGGTAGTTTATTGCTTTAAAGATTGTATCTGTTGTGATATAGAATTGTTTTTGTTGAACAAAAATTTGGCAGCCAGGATGAAGAATTCTGTACTTAGGTTAGCATTTTCAGAAGAAGATCTATAGAATATTACATATATATTATATGTATTAATGGATTTACTGTTGATTATGGAGTTAAGAAGCAAAGTCTCACAAGCCTAAAAAGCAGTCATTGACATCTGCCAATGTGATCAGGGAGAAATGTGCTGGATGTTTGCTGGATGTTGGTTGCTAGGTTAAAATCTGTTGCACAGAGGGAGCGGTGCCATAGGCCTCCTATTGAGGGCTGTGGTCACCCTTATTGTGGGAGGGGCCAACTTCTCAAACACTCACCAAGTTGTCATAAAAGGAAAAACTACTTAAATGACAGGAGGAAACTCAAGTCTTTACATATTGAATTCACTTGTTTGTGCTTTTCCTTGTTTAGGCTTTAATCAACAGAGGAGTGAACCTTGATCCACTGGGGAAATGGTCTAAAGTGGGGTTGGTTATCTATGACTCCTCAGTACCTATAGGTAGGTTTCAAAAGTTATGTAAGTGACCAACTTAAGCAATTAAGGATGCTGAGTGTGACTGCAGCTTCTTTACATGTTAACTAGGTGCAACTCCGGAGTATCTGGCCGGTCATTACATGCTCCAAGGAGCCTCCAGCTTTCTGCCAGTCATGGCGCTGTCTCCACAGGAGGGAGAGTTGGTATTAGACATGAGCTCAGCTCCAGGAGGAAAGACTACCTATATTGGTAAGATGTATTGCCTTTATTGCAAATTATGTTGTCATTTCACCCTTAAAAATAGTGGAGTCCTTATGCAGATGTTCTCACCCTTAGCTCAGCTGATGAGAAACACGGGGGTAATAGTGGCTAATGATGCCAATGCTGAAAGACTGAAGAGTGTGGTGGGAAACATCCACCGTCTGGGGGTCACCAACACTGTGGTCTGCAACTATGACGGCAGAGAGTTCCCAAAGGTATCCTGTCTAAATGTGTAGATCACCAATATCTGTGGGGTTAAGCCTTATTACAGTTCCAATGTTTTGACCTGTTGGAATTCTGCTTTAAGGTCATGGGTGGCTTTGATAGAGTGCTGCTTGATGCACCCTGCTCAGGCACAGGAGTCATTGCTAAAGATCCAGCTGTGAAGACGAGCAAGGTAAAAACCAAGAAAGAAACTTTTTCTGTCTTTATATACACACACGTCTGTTTGCTTTAAGTAGTGTGCTAATACTTGTTTCTTTTTGCCCTTCTGTTCACTGACAGGATGAGGTGGATATCAATCGTTGTGCTCACTTGCAGAAAGAATTGATTCTGTCTGCCATCGACTCGGTCAATGCTGATTCCCCATCGGGAGGATATCTGGTCTACTGCACGTGTTCAATAACTGTATGTGGAAACTCTGAATTTCTACCAAATTTATGTACAAACATAGTAAATATCAGACGAGCTTGGTAAGTGATTGCATTTTTTTCAACTAGGTGGAGGAGAATGAATGGGTGGTGGACTACGCTTTAAAGAAAAGAAACGTCAAATTAGTTCCCACAGGACTCGACTTTGGCAAGGAAGGCTTCACCAAGTAAGTTGGATAACCAGTGTTATTATTTTAGGAGCAAGTAAGAAATTGAATAAAACATGAATATTTTCCTTCTTTTAGTTTCAAAAAGTTCAGGTTCCATCCAACTCTGCGACTCACGCGACGATTTTACTCTCACTCCCACAACATGGATGGATTCTTTGTGGCCAAGCTGAAGAAGTTCTCCAACATTATTCCAACTGCACCACCAGGGAATGGTAAGAGTTTTTGTCATAGCTTCATGCCTACGTTTATCATGATATTTTCCTTTTCATCACTAAGTAACATCTGTCTTTGTTGTTGTTGTTGTAGAAGATGAGAAGGCAGAGGCTCCTGAGACGACAGCGGCCACAGAAGCTCCTGAAGAGAAAAGGTCCAAGAGCGACAAGACAAAGAAGACTGTCCTCAACAAGGCAGGCGGCCTGAAGCAAGAAAACAAAGCCAATGGAACAGCAGTCACGAAAAAAGCAATCATCAACTCACAAGGCAAAAAGGAGTTGCATACTGGACCAAAAAAGGCAAAAGTCGCCAAGATGGATGGAGAAACTGTGAAGGGCACAGAAGCCAAGAAGGCAACAGATGATGGTAAAGCATCAAAAGCTGACACAAAGGAAGGAAGCAGGTTTGAGAAAAAGCAGACCACAAAGAGGAAAACACCCATGAAGGCCAAGAACAGAATGGGGAAGAATAAATTCAACAAGTTGAAGCACATGTTGCAAAAACAATAAACAAAAGTGACAGTGTGTTAAATGCATGTTTGGATTATATTAAAGCTTTGTTACACACCTGGATCCACCTCTGTCTGATGAAGCTGCTCTGTTTGTGCAGCAATTGTGTCAAACGTGATTGTAACATGGCTGCGTGCTGATGATTGGACTCACAAACAATGCCCCTACTAAAGCTGGAGCTTTCTTTTTTTTATTTCTGTATACAGATTCAATGCTTTCCATAATCCTGTGAGAAATAAATCTTTTAAGAACATTTAATACTGACCTATGAATCATTCACACACAAAAGAGGCACCTAACTCAAAGGATGAAACAGTGTTGTGTCCAAACATATCAGATTATTCTCAAAAAGCTTGTAGTTAAAAACTTCTTTTAGTGCAGTGTGTCCTTAAAAAAAATTAGAGGAAATTGGACAAATGGAGGAGTGGTGGGTATAAAAAAAAATCTACTGCAGATGAACAGTGTTTAAAAGTAATTTTCTTAAAAAACTAACAAATCCAGCAAAGACTTGACTTGGGACCTGAGAGGTCCTTCTGAATCCATCTGTTTGCTGAAGGGGCATCAGAAGTCTCAGCAGTTCTCGACGGCCACCGTTCCATTGTCTAAAGAAGGGAAATGGGGAAAAAGCTGAGGTATGCCAAATTAGACAAGAACTGGACTGAAAATCAGTGGAAACCGGTCTTACAGACTCACAAATCCAAATTTGAAATTTTTGGTTCAGATCATCACCACTTATGTTTACATGTGTTCCAGTAAACTGCTGCATCTATTTCACATTTTCAGAAAATATAAAGAAATTTCCTGTAATATGTGTTGTAATTTCACAAGGTTGTTTCATTTATTTATTTTCATTCAGTCACCTAAAGACGTTTATTTTTTTATTCTTTAGTTGAGATTAAGGCAAGGCAAGTTTATTTGTATAGCACAATTCAACAACAAGGTGATTCAAAGTGCTTTACAGAGACATTAGAAACAAGAACAAATAAAAAGCATGATTTAAAATTGATTAAAACAAGCAAATAAACTAACTAATTAACAAACAAACAAACAACAGTATATAAAATCAAAACAGATAAAATCAGAACAGTAGATAAAATCAGTAGTTAAATTTAAGTTTTGAAATTTAAGCTTAAAGTGTGGATTTGGTGCTTTATTCAAATGCAGCTGAGAACAGGTGAGTCTTCAACCTGGATTTAAATAAACTGAGTGTTTCAGCTGATCTGAGGCTTTCTGGGAGTTTGTTCCAGATATAAGGAGCATAAAAGCTGAATGCAGCTTCTCCGTGTCTGGTTCTGACTCTGGGAACTGATAAAAGACCGGATCCAGATGACCTGAGGGATCTGGATGGTTCATACTGGGTCAGGAGGTCATTGATGTATTTTGGTCCTAAACCATTCAGAGCTTTATAGGCCAGCATCAGAACTTTAAAGTCTATCCTCTGACGGACAGGCAGCCAGTGTAAGGACCTCAGAGCTGGACTGATGTGGTCCACTTTTTTGGTCTTAGTGAGGACTCGAGCAGCAGAGTTCTGAATGAGCTGTAGTTGTCTGACTGATTTTTTAGGTAGACCCGTAAAGATGCTGTTACAGTAATCAAGCCTACTAAAGATGAATGCATGGACTAGTTTTTCCAGGTCCTGTTGAGACATCAGATCTTTTATCCTTGATATATTCTTGAGGTGATAGTAAGCTGACTTTGTTATTGTCTTAATGTGTTTTTCTAAGTTTAGGTCTGCATCCATCTCTACACCCAAATTTCTCGCCTGGTTTGTGGTTTTTAGATGTATAGATTGAAGTTCTCTGGTGACCTGTAATCGTTTTTCTTTGGCGCCAAAGACTATTACCTCAGTTTTGTTTTTGTTTAGCTGGAGAAAATTGTGGCACAACCAGTCATTGATTTCCTCAATGCATTTACCAAGAGCCTGTACAGGGCCTCGGTCTCCTGGTGACATTGTGATATATATTTGTGTGTCATCTGCATAGCTGTGATAGTTTATTTTGTTGTTGTTTATAATCTGTGCCAGTGGGAGCATGTAGATGTTAAACAGAAGGGGTCCCAAGATGGAACCTTGGGGAACTCCACATGTGATACTTGTCTGCTCAGATGTGAAGTTACCTATTGATACAAAGTATTTCCTGTTTTCTACGTATGTTTTGAACCAGTTTAGTACAGTTCCTGAAAGACCTGTCCAGTTCTCCAGTCGTTTGAGTAATATGTTGTGGTCAACTGTATCAAATGCTGCACTGAGATCCAGTAAAACTAGGACTGACATTTTTCCACTGTCTGTATTCAGACATATGTCATTAAACACTTTGGTCAGAGCGGTTTCAGTGCTGTGGTTCTGTCTAAAACCTGACTGGAAGGCATCGTAGCAATTATTCTGTTTTAAGAAGTAACTGAGCTGTTGAGAAACTGCTTTTTCAATGATCTTACTTAAAAACGGGAGATTTGAGATCGGCCTGTAGTTGTTCATTTGTGTCTTGTCAAGATTGTCCTTTTTCAGTATAGGTTTGATTACAGCAGTTTTTAGTGATTCTGGAAACACACCTGATAATAAAGAAAAGTTGACGATCTGTAACAGGTCTGACTCTAAAGTCTTTGAGACCTTTTTGAAAAAACTTGTTGGCAGGACATCTAAACAGCAGGAGGAGGAGTTCAGTTGACCTAAGATGTCCTCCAGGTCTTTGCTGTTAATAGGTTGAAACTGTTTCATGGTGTTTAAACAGTTTTTTGGTGGACACAGTACATATCCTGGATCTGCTGTTGATGTACCAATTGCTTGTCTAATTTTTTGGATTTTTTCAGTGAAGAATTTGGCAAAGTCATTGCAGGCCATGGTCGAATGAAGTTCAGCTGCCACTGACACAGGAGGGTTTGTTAGCCTGTCAACTGTAGAAAATAAGACCCGAGCATTATGGCTGTTTTTAGTGATGATGTCAGAGAAGTAGGACCTCCTTGCATTCCTCAGTTGTAAATTATAATTGTGAAGTTTCTCTTTATAAATGTCATAATGAACCTGGAGGTTTGTTTTTCTCCATCTGCGCTCAGCTTTCCTACACTCATTTTTCACTAGTGTGGAGTTTCTCCATGGAGACTTTTTCCTTCCAGAGATAACCTTCACCTTAATGGGAGCAATAGTGTCCATTACATTTAACATGTTAGCATTGAAGCTATTGACGAGCTCATTGACTGACCCTCTGGGCAGGTCAGGTGTTAATGGGAAGACCTGGTTAAAAATTGCACTACTGTGTTCAGTTATACACCGTTTTGTGATCACTGTTGTTGAGATATTTGTGTGGGCTGAGATTTTACTTTCAAAGAAAACACAGTAATGATCAGACAGGCCCACATCAGACACAGTAACCTTTGAAATGCTCAGGCCTTTGGAGATCAGTAGGTCAAGAGTGTGTCCTCTATTATGTGTGGCCTCTGTTACATGCTGAGTCAGCCCAAAGTTGCCCAGAGTGTTACTCAGGTCTTTAGTCCCTTTGTCCTGAGGGTTGTCCACATGAATGTTAAAATCCCCAGCAATAATTACACAGTCAAAATCAACACAGATCACAGACAGCAGTTCACTGAGGTCATTAAAAAAGTCTGTGCAGTATTTGGGAGGCCTGTAACTATAATATAGATTAACTATAATAACCTTGATAAAAATACAAAAGACCATCTCTAAACGGAGTACATCTTGGACACTCTTGCATACCTGTTATTGTTTATTACCTATATGATAATTTGAGTATTACACCTGTAATTGGCCGTACTTTGGATGGCAGTTGATTCTTCCTTCGGTGTTGGGTGCGCTCTGGAGATAACCAATCAGATCAGCTCTATCTCGGTCCGGAAGCTGTGTTGTTTACATTTTCCAAGATGGCGGCGGGAATGTATTTGGAGCATTATTTGGACAGTAAGTGAATTTGCATGTGTTTCTGACGCATTGAAAAACATTCTTAGTCGTTTTATAGTTTAATTTCTTTGTGTAGTGTATCTCCTGATCAGCTTCAGCGCGGAAGGGAATGTTCTAACGGTTTCCTAACGGTTAGCGGTTTAGGCTCAGTCTATTTGCTGGAATAGCGCGTCGCAAGGGAGCAAAGAAAGGCTCGCAAGCATCCTGTATTGCCACTACTGGCACAAGTTAAATGCAGTTAGCATTCATAGTCAGCTGTATTTGTGCCACTTGTTGTTTAATGGGGTGCTTGAGAATGTTAAAGCTTAACCGAAAAAGCATCACTTCAGACATTAGATTGAGCTAGCCAGTGTTGTTATTTCATTGTTTCGTGTTGATGTCTTAAAAATCTTTGTTCTCCTGCCTTCCTGCCACACCAGGCATAGAAAACCTGCCCTTCGAGTTGCAGAGGAACTTTAATTTGATGAGGGATCTAGATCAACGCACAGAGGGTAAGCTCAGTGAACACGGATCTTCATTAACCCACAAAACACGGTCCTTAAATGGAGGTAAATGGGTTACCCCCACACAGGGACCCCAACGAAAGTCCGAGGAATCATTATATTACTAACGAAAAAAAGCCCCTAATTATTATTATTATTATTATTATTATTATTTGTCTTGTTCTTCTTTAACACTTGGATGTATTTTTATTTAGTGCTCTTACATTGACACAGCTCGAACCCTATCTTAATGTGTGATGAGGAGTCACATAATAAAATTTTTAAGTCATCTTTATTTAAATATTATTTTTAAACCCCAAAACAAATAAATGATCAAAATAAAATAAATAAAAATAATATTAATAATAATAACAATAATAATTATACAGAGTGAAAACAATTAGGTGTGTTATTATGTATTTATATGTGCTAAGCAAAAACATTTTTAAAGGTTTGGTTGTGGTTAGTGCTGTCTACTTACAGCAAGTAGGTCCTGGGTTTAAATCCAGTTGAAGTCCTTCTGCCTGAAGTTTACATGTTCTCCTCGTACTTGTATGGGTTCTCTCCGGGTGCTTTGACGTCTTCCCACAGTTCAAAGACATGCATGGAGTTAGATTAATTGGTGATTCTAAATTTGTTGTCCGTCTGTCAGTGTTGTGCTGGGTGTATCCTGCTTTTGGCAGCTGGGATAGGCTCAAGCCACCCCAGCAACCAGAAACAGATAAGGAGAAGAAGATGAATGTATAGAACCCAAAAGTTTATTAACATTTTTGAAACCTTAAGATCATAATTTACTGTGTTAGGTTGCTGGTTTTATGCTTGTTAAATAAGAAAACTGAATATCCAATTGTGTTATTTTCAAAAACATTTTGACTTATTTGTGTGAGGTATTAAAATTATCTTTGTAATTACAGACAGCGTTGTTTAGAAGTTCTTCTCATCTTTTTTTTTTTTTATTATTTTTTTTATTTTTGTTTAGATCTTAAAGGCCAGATAGACTCTCTGGCTAAAGAATACACTGCCAATGCCCGGACTCTCTCCTCTGAGCAAAAGCTGTCCATACTGAGGCAGATCCAGCAGTCATACAGTAAATGCAAGGAGTTTGGAGATGACAAGGTGCAGCTGGCCATGCAGACCTATGAAATGGTTGGTATCTTAGAAAATAAACATATTTTAGATACATGTTTATTGGGAGAAAATAACTTGAAAAATACACTGCCCTGTATTTAAGTAAGCATGGCCTGAATTTTGTGTAGGTGGATAAACACATCAGACGTCTGGACACGGATCTGGCTCGGTTTGAGGCTGACCTGAAGGAAAAGCAAATCGAGAGCACAGACTATGATTCCACCTCTAGTAAGGGGAAGAAAGGTGGGTTAACACTGTATTTGCCCACAGTTATGTGCTCAGTTAAGTAAATCCAAACTCAATATAATGCATGTCTTGCATGCTTTTGTAATTCCAGGAGATTCCAGGCAAAAGGAGAAGAAGGCAGCTAAAACGAGGTCTAAAGTGAAGAGTTCAGATGAAGACAGCAGTCCTAAGAGTGCACAGAAGAAAGTGAAACTCCTTCAGCCGTACGTTGTGCATTGTTTTGCTTTTGATGGTCTCGTCATTGTTGTTTTTTTTTCCTTTTAAGTTAGTGTCATACTCTTTTTCTCACATACAACATTTTTTAATCATCAGAGGAGAATTCAACAGCCCTTCTTCCAACTTTGGGAACGTGCACCCATCCGATGTGCTGGATATGCCAGTGGACCCCAACGAGCCCACCTACTGCCTATGTCATCAGGTCTCCTATGGCGAGATGATCGGCTGTGACAACACTGATGTGAGTTTTGTATTAAAATGCCCTCTTACAGTCAATCAGAGGACACATGAGATTGGTATGGACATTTACATTTAATGTTGATGAATGTGTGTTGTCGTTTGTACAGTGAACCTGCTTAGAAAATTATAAAATTTGAAAGGGTACATGGTTTAGAGCACAAGTAATGATTCAGTAAAAGGACTAGATGTTATAGTCCCTGATAATGCATTTCTTTGAATGGAGAGAATCTTGAGGAAAGGCAGCCCAGGAACTTTACCAGCAACACATATCGTTGTGTGCCTCAACTTTTTTGTATTGTATTGTATCTTTATTTCAGACATATACAGAAAAAAAAAACTTTTGGTCTTTTACCCAAGCAAATCTGCAATTTTTTGGTAGATTAGAGATTTGATCTAGATTATCATATTAAGATTTGGGACACATCGTCAGTAGTGGACCTTGGATTCATCAGGTGTTTCGCCCATTATCACTAGACACCCTCGTCCAATGAGGGCCTACCAGGGTTGCTCAGGCCACGGAGTGTGTCACTAGTTTATGTTAAATTGTTATTTCTCTTCTTCTTTCTTCTGTCTAGTTTTCTACAGTTTATTTTCTTCTATCTATTCACTGCAACTGAGAAATAATACTTACCTCTTTAGCATTTATGGAGCCTCACTTCTTCAAAGGGATAGAAAAGGTGACAGAGAGAAGTAAGACAAAAGGGACAAGATAGGAGAGAGCAGAGAGGAGAGCCGGAAGGGGGGCGCACGATCTGGCTTCCCACACCTCCCTGCCGGATCGGGCTGTACGCTCTTCCTCCCTACTGCCTCCTAGAAAAGGGAAGAAGAGCGGAATATTTTCTTTTCTCTCACAGTTAGCTGGACTGCCTTTGCTGCCCAAGTGAAGTCAGCCCTTTTTAACTGGTCCTCTCAGCAGTGTTAGCTAATTCTCTTATAGCCTGTCGTTGTGCCTGTCTGATCCCAATCTCTCTAAGCAGTTTTGCTGTTGTACTGGCAACAAAGCCCCTGCACCCCAATTCCACCGGGCGCACCTTGATCTTCCAACTTCTGTCCTCTGCTTCAGCTGCCAAGTTGGCATACTGCAGCTTCTTACGCTCAAATGCTTCCTCGATTGCTTCCTCCCATGGTACCGTCAGCTCAATGACGTACGCAAGTTTTTGGGAGTTAGACCAAACGATAAAGTCTGGTCGCAGAGCACAACCAAATCAATTTTATAACCCACTTCAAGTGTCATAATATAAAGGCAAATCATACAGAGTAACAGAAACAAGAACTGGTGTTCTGAACGCTTTATATATTTTCTGGTGTTTTCTGGCTCTTTTCACTGGAGAAAAGAGCATTTCTGTGTAAACACACAAAGGAGGCTGGACCACAGAGAGTCTTGGGATGCTTTCTTTGCAGTTGCTTCATTTAGCTTGTGACAGTTGTCTTTTGGCATAAGATGAAATGTCCCTTTTTATTGTCTTTACTGAACTTGAGAGGGAGATGTCCGGTTGTTTGGGTTCAATGTGCTGTCCTTATCCACATATCCACTGATCCCATTTTGTTTGGCAATAACAAAATTAAATATATTAATGATTGCCCACTTTTATTTGAGTTTTGTTCTGCTGTTTCAATACGAACCAAATTAAAAGAGGTTTGGTTATAGTGAAATACTCACACACATCCCTCTGATGTCCTCGGAACCACCAAACACAGGGAAACAGTTTTTTTTTTTTCATTTAGTGCTTATGGTCCGTATATTTTTAACTTGGCGGCAGTTACATGTGTTTGTTTTAACCAGTTACAGTATGTCAGGGTTCGTATGGGTGCTTGAAATCCTTGAAAATGCTTGAATTGTAATGTTGTCTTTTCAAGGTTTGAAAAGTGCTTGAATTTCAGATGTGGTGCTTAAAAGTGCTTGAAAGTGTAACTGTATTTAATTCACCACAAATAACTATCTGATTGAACAGTTTTCTTATCAGATAGAGAAATAAAATGAGTCGCAAAATGTAGAGGCAAAATTTCCCCGCCTGGCTGCCTTGTGTCTGTTTCAATATGTGACCCCGCCCCTCCCTCGGACGGTCGGGGATGTGTGCGCTAACATACCTGTTGGTCGTTGTTTTAATAAGTGTTTGATGGAAAACAACAATGGCGGAGTTTGCGCTCTCCAGTCGCATGATAGGTGAGTCCTAGTAAATAATTTTCCAGTACGTGTACGTTACACATGCTATTTTTAAAAAAAATTATGATTATTATTTTGCTAGCTATCAAACTCGCTGGAGAAATGATTGAAACGCACTGAGTGTGATGCAGTATGGCAGCGCTATTATGGAATATGCTGTGAACTTAGCTAACATTACTTAGCAGTCATATGAGTTCATTTACTCAAGTGAAAGCTTTAAACATTAGCCTGATACATAACTAGCTAACTTGGCTTTCTGGTTAACCCTCTGGGGTCGACAGACCCAGAGTCTCCATTTCAACTTGGGTCGAACGTGCGGACTTCAAACTATATACCAGTGTTTAAATTGTGTTGATAGGCCACGTAAAACCGATGTTTTTTGTTTTTAATAAAACAGTGGCGTTTACTCCAGGAAGAAACGGTAAAAACGGCCTTTTCTAAGGAGAGCGCTAGCAAACACGCTTTGATTGTGAGTGAAAAACAACAGTCATTGGTGAAAAAAGAAAAAACACTCCTTCCCTATTGGTGGAAAAATGTACCACGTCGACCAATCAAAAAAAATGATATGGCAACATGTGGCATTTGGTTGTTTGGGAAGAGAGGGAAGTTTTAGGAGTGAGCGAAAGAGAGAGAGAGACAGTTTTGATACATGAGAAATTTGTGAGGTTTACCGTGTTTGGAGTCTCATGTTAGTGTGTTGTCTTGTGTAGTTAGTGTGTAGTGTAGTCGTTGTTTTGTTTTGTGTGTCAGTTCTACTAGTGAATGTGACAGTAGCTGCAAAAAAGCCACCAAAGGCAGATTGCAGTGTAAACGCTGTGTGACACACCTGCTGTCAGACCTGCAGGTTTATCCCTGTACTGTTCTCATCTGTGTTATAGTGGACACAAACTATTTTTTGGAGTTGCATAAATAATTTTTGTGCCTTCTTATTTGATGCAGAACACCTGATTGTTCTGTAAATAGTTTGAAATGGTTACATAAAAACCATCTCAGCCTTGGCTGCATTTTTAGGTAAATAGTACCATATAACTTTTTTGTTTGCAAAACCTGTGCATATTTTTAAAAATGTACAATTTCTATTTGCATTTCAAGTTATGAAAATGATTCGTTAAACATGCCTGTGGTTTTTGCAGTCAAAAATATCACTTTCTACTCATATTTTAAATTTTGTCTGAATTTAGATAAATTGTGCTGATACAGTTTGTCAAAATGAGAAAATAACAGATTGGCAAGATAAACAGTTTTTAAAGTTGAAATATAGAGGCCAAATCAAAAGTAGTCAAAAACGGCCAATTATACCCTGGACCCCAGCTTTTTGGAGTATTTGAAATAATGGTAATATGAAGGACCGATCCATATGGTCACAAAGAATAGCCACTTGTTTCTGTGCCATCAGTTCCCCGGCTTTCATTCAAAATGTGTTTATCTTCAGCACCTGCACATTAAACTACTTAAAACTCATACATGTCTTCAAGCTCACACCGAGACCTGTGGGGCACAATCAGCCACTGAGACAGTACACACATTTATATGTGTATTTGTATATGAATATTTCATACTTTAAGGCTGCCTGTTTATTTAAGGGAGATGAACAAAATACATTGGAATTGTACATAATAATATCACAGATGATAAATTCAATAGATTTTAAGTAGATGCTTGTGCATTCTTAAAGTCTTATATGTTGAATTGAACTATGTTATCTGAAAAGCTTGAAAAGGGACCTTGAAAGTGCTTAAAAAGTGCTTGAATTTGACCCTGAAAAAGACGTATGAACCCTGGTATGTGGAAAGCTTTTTTTTCCAAGATGTCTGGTCTTGTCAGTTTTTAGCTTATTCTACAGGGGAAGAATGTTCATAATCAGACACATCAAGGAAAGGAGCATAAAAAAGAGAAGAAAATGAGGCTGCATTAAAAAAATACAGCAGCTGCTTTAGTAGTTTATACCTGTTCAGCTGTTCATTAATGCAAAGAACTAATTAGCCAGCCAATGACAGCAACTCAATGCACGTAGCTAAAAGTGCTTGCTCATAGGGGGTCATATGATTGTTGGGTTTTTCTCTGTATCTATGAAGCGCCTTGAGGCGACTTATGTTTGGCGCTATATATATAGACACAAGAATTTCACTCACATGTGCTGTACCAATGTACCTGCACATGTGATGTGACAATAAAAGTGATTTGATTTGATTTGATATATAAATAAAATTGAATTGAATATGGTCAAGGACCTGCTGAAGTTCCATCTGAGCATCAGAATGTGGAAGAAAGTTGAATTAAGTGATTTGGAATGTGACATCATCACCATCGTGGAGCTTCATGGATATGCAGCTGACAAATCTGCAGCAACTGTGTGACGCTATCATGTCATTTCGGACCAAAATCTCTGAGAACGTAATCAACACCTTGTCTTTGTGCCACAAAGAACTAAGCAGCTCTGACGGCAAAAAGAGGTCTAACTTGGTACTAGCAAGGCCTACCTATTAAAGTGTCTGGTGAGTGCACATTTATGCAATAAAGGCAAAGCCAGAGGATTGTGGAAAGTGGTTTAATATGTAGTAAATCACCTTCTAGTTCTAATTTCCTGTTACTTATTTGCTTATAATGGCGTTTTAAGTGGATGGAGCCCTGCTATTATCAGATTTAAAGAGCCATCTGTACATCTTAACAAAGGAAGAGAGGTTGCATTTGGAAGTGAGTAAATGACAGTGTGTCCCTTTGTGACATTTAATAAAGCACACAAAATGTGGTACCTTCACTGGTCCCTTTAATGAAGGAATGATATTATTTATTTTAATATCAATAAATACCATCCACATATCAAAAAAGGTCACGACAGTATAATTGTATCATACAGAGCTGACTCTGCGAGCATTAAATCAGATTAATAATAAAAAATAGAAGCTGAAATGGTATTATGTGTCTGTTATACTTTATAAAGTGCATGTACAGGCTCTCTCTTACATACATTTCCAAGATGCTAACCATAAATTAAGGTGCTGCAGCCCGGTGCCTCGCTGTGTGGATAAGGTCACAGATGGCAGTGTGACTGATTTATTAGCAGAAGCCACACTGTGAATATTACATGTGATGGCTCTTTTTGAACAGATTGTTCTCCATCATGTGTTCTAGAAAAATTTGATTTTTGTCTGTCCCAACTGCTTCACTTGCACAACACTTACCAGTATTTTGTCTGTTTTTGTTTTTTTCCAGTGCTCCATTGAGTGGTTCCATTTCGCATGTGTGGGGCTGACAACCAAACCGAGAGGCAAATGGTAAACAAAACTAAAAGAAATTGAGACTGTGATCTAATTTCACAAATGTGTTCAATAAGAGTGTTGAAAGTGTGCACCCTCACCACTCTTCATTTATGCTATGCAGGTACTGTCCACGGTGCTCTCAGGACAGAAAGAGGAAGTGAGAACAAATGGTTGTCCTGGAACGAAACACGGACTCTGATCAGATGGAAAATGAGAAGAATATTTCTTCATTAGTTACTAGAACTTTTTGTTTCTCATCTTCCTTAACATTTGGTGCTTTTTAAATTTCGGTTTACGTACTTGCCTTGGTCTGATGCAGAGTGTTTGAAGGAGCCAAGTGTTACAAATGTATTTAAATTTTTTTTTTTATTTTTTTTTTTTTTTTTTTTAAATGGTTAACACTAATTTTGAGTTTTTGTTGTTACCTTTGGTGCTCTTTTTGTGACTTTTTTTTTTTTTTACATTTTATTTTCTGAGTGATTAATAAACACTATAACTGCCCATAATGGTATGACATTTGAATTTTCCACGATACTCTATACCGTATTCACATGTACAACTACAAAATTATATTTTCTTCCAAAAAAAAAAGACCATGGATGATTTGATGCTTTGTCATATGGTTAGTTTCTTGTGCTTAGCCTTGGAACACTAGTTTAATTTTTCGATATAAGAAGAGGGCAAATTACAAAAAAAAAAAATGCTGCACCTTGACAGTATTAGTCACCTGTGGTAGTGAATTGAACCATTTCATTTTAACATTTGACTGAGTGCTGCATAGGAAGTAAGAATTTTTTTTTAAAGTATTGTCATTTCTGTAGCTGAAATATTGGTACCGGGGAGAGGGGGTGATTGTGTTTCAATCATTTGAATACAGCTACTACCTCAAAAACCTTTTCTCTGTCCTTTGTGTGTGTCTGCGTTTGTAATTGTGGTTTGTAAAGTTTCTGACTTTGTGCTGTAGTGTGCCCGAGCGTCCGGCAGGTGGCAATGTTCGGTCAAACAGCAGCATGTCAACGTGGGCGGGGGCAAGTGGCGTCAGAGTGTCGCCGCTTTGGCGCGATGTTCGGACAAATTTGAAAACTTACTGGATTTAGACCGTTTAGAGACGGTGAATACTAACAGGCTACGCGTGTTTCTACAGAGGTCCAGAGTTTGGCTAACAGGAGTACATTTGTTACGGGTGAGCTTTATGTTTATAAACTATAAGAAGTTGGTAGTTTGTTGTTGAAGCCATTTCCGTTTTTCAATAATGTAACTGCGTACAAGATACTGAGCTAGCCCTGCTAATTAGCCCGCTAACTGCGTTAGCAGTAGCTGTTTTGCTTTGGTTAGCTAAACCCACAAAAATAAATGTTAGTCTTTGGTAAATAGAAGTAATTCTTCACATGGGCTGGAGTGTCTTAGAGAGTGTTATGCTGCACTTTAGCTTCTTAGGTAGGATCAAGAACGAGTTAAATTTTAAATGTGTTTAGTCGAATATTCGACTATCTCGCTTTGTAAAACAGTAGATATCAAGTAATATCAAATTCTTTCCCAACAGGAGCTAAGTTAGTTAAACATACAAATAAAGGCTGTCTTAATGATTCAGGGATGTCGTGGGACTTCTTTGTACCTGTGTGCGTGGGGGACCTTGTGAAGACTGGGGGGATCAACCAGTACGTCGTTCAGGATGTGGTCTCCGCAAAACAGCTCCCGTCCTGTCTCAACAGTAAGTTGTCAACATGTAGGCAGGTCACTGATAGTTTTTGGGGTTTTTTTGTTCTTTGGGGGGTTATTTTTTTAAACAAAATGTAGAACATCTGCACAGAAGGCATCACATTTTCTTCAAACACCTCCAACAAGTCATTACCATCCAAGAATTGTCCCGCGCTAAGAATCTTTTTACTAACTTGTGTGTAACACCAACCTGCCAGAGGGTCTGCAGATGGAAATTAGCTAAAATTAAAAAAATAATTATAGTACTGGATTGCACCCAGCTTCTTATGTGTATATCACCATCCCCTAAAACAAACAGACCCTTCAGTGATGGGTCGAGCCACTACTTAAGTCTCAGACACAATTATATAAATCTTTCCCAAGATTCCTGCTCATGTACCACACCCCCAAGTAAGGTTAATTAAAATACCTATGTTCTTGCATTTTTTGTTTTGATTTTTTTACCCAAAATGACAAAGTGTTGTCACTCTTCGAATACTTGGGGATGATTGTGCTAGTTTATTTGTTTATTTTTTTTTTAAATTCTGTTTCACACAGAATTCAAGGCAGCATTAAGGAGTCAGGGGCCTTTGTGTATACTAGAGCACTTCGACACTGGCTACAGTGTGCTGCAGTAAGTGTTTTCATGTATTGCCCACTTTTATTTATTGTGACTATTACTGTACAAAACAACTGTCTTTGTTTCTTTAGGCACTGTAAGGCGGTAGATCTGGCTGTTAAAGAAGATACTCTGGAATTACTAGTACAAGGTTGCTTTTTTTTAAAGAAATAATATTTTCTTGATGTTTAAATTGATAACTTTGATTTGTTGATGTGCTCACATAACCTGATATTTTTTTATTTTTTTATTTTTTTTTTAAATAACCCTTGCCTTTCAGTGGTTAGTGGGCTGTCTGTTTCACTGCCGAGCATCCTTGTCTCCACCTCCCTGTCAGCTGCAGAGCGCAAGGAAAAACTTAACGCAGTTAAAATGAGCGTCTTCCTGCTTTGCAAACTCACAGAGAACCTGGAGAGTGATTCCTATAGGCAGAATATTGTCACAGCACCTGGGAAGGTATGCTCATTGCTTACTTAGCTAAAGGGTTCTTTGCATATGCCTGTTATCATAAATGTCCACTGATGAGCTTTAACTAGCTTTATGATTCAGTCAAACTAAGAGATTGAGTTTCTAGCCTGTTGTTATGTGGTTATTCTTGGTTGTGTGGTAGAGTGTTATTGCACTGCTGTAAGGGCCCACCCAGAGTGAAATTGACACTTTCTATGCTGTGCCACTTCAAGAGAAATTGGGTAGTATAAGCAGAAGCTGTCAAACAATGTGTGGATGTTTGCCATTGTGTGCATAATGATCAGCTAGCAAGAGGCTATCAGTCTCTGTATAGTTGGTTTGGCTGGTGTGAATTGTTTTCTTTGGTAATCTGAGGACATGTATTGTGATTTACTTGATCTCAATACTATATTAAAGATTTTATAGTCCAACATCTATGAAGCTTAACTGCTCTTTTTATGTTGTACAGGGTGGTAAAAAAGGCAAAGCATGTGGAGAAGGACTTGTGCAGTGGGACTCAGAAAGAGAGCAGGTGCTACAGGCACTTGTGCAGCTCTTCCAATTGGACATCCGTTCACTGTGGAGCCTCTCCTTGGTGGAGGAAGAGTTCATCAGGTACTCTGCTGTCAGGAGAGCTCTGGCAGAGAATACAGTATCACGTTTTGCTGGTTTAATTCAGTTAGTTGGTGTCATTTACAACTTATCCATATCACTTCCGAGCATTCGGAACTCTGTAGCTTAATTGGAACTCTTATGACAAAGATGTGTGACTCTTCATTAATAATCTACAATATCTAATAAGGTTAGAAGAAATTTGGACTGTGGTAAATTGCCCAATGTAATGGTTTCGTTATGCACATTTCCTCACTTTCCACTTGTTTTATGGTTCTCAGTAAGGATATTCAGTAAATTGTTTGTCAGAAGACATTTATGTGGTAGTTTAACACTCACAACACTCCTAGCAGCACTTACCTCAGCTTTTAACATGCACTGTGTGTATCTGATGCTTCTGATGAATTCAAAACCTTGTCTACTACTCATTGTGGATTTTTGGTAACTTTTCATCCAGGTATTACCATAATCTAATATATAAAAAAACACACATTTATCTCTTCTTAGCTGTGTGACCTGCTGCTGCTACAAGCTCCTTGAGAACCCAACTATCAGCCATGTCAAGAGTAAACCCACCAGAGACTGTGTAATCCACCTCCTGGGGTTGCTGATTAAGAAATATAATCACCTCCTGGGTGAGTTGGTCAGACAAATGCAGTCCTATTACCGAGGAAACAAATTAATCCTGTCACTTTTGAGAATATTGTCTGTAAATGGTGGTGGTGGGGGCCACTATAAGGTGTTCAGCTTTTCGGGAGACATAGCTGACTTGTAAGGTTTTTTTTTATTTGTCCTCTAAACTGTCACAGGTGCTGGTGTAAAAGTGATCCAGATGCTTCAACATTTTGAGCAGTTGTCATCAGTGTTTGCCCAGGCTGTGTCTGTGTGGAGCACAGAGTACGGAGTCAGAGCTATCATAGGAGAAGTCATACGGTCTGTACAATTTTTGTGTGTATACAGTATCCAGTATGCAGCTTGATTTCGTGAATCTGTTTGTGAAGTCTTATTTTGTGTTACAAATTCCTGTCTTTGTTTGTTTTTGTTTTTTTGTTGTTGTTTTTTTTATCTCAGGGAGATTGGTCAGAAGTCAAGTGAGGAGTTGGCCAGAGAGGGGTCGGGAGTCAAAGCCTTTGCCTCCTTCCTCTCAGAAGTCAGTGCTTTGGTGCCTGAATTGATGATTCCCAACATCAGTGTTCTCATCACACACCTGGAAGGAGAGGTATGAGCACCGAACAGTGAGTAATTGATTGCAGCTCATGAATAAGAAAATTATTGTCCTTACATAAGTAGAGGCTGCCTGCCATATTGATTGGGTATAAACAATTGCTAATTAGAGGTCTATGTGATCATGTAAAACAGCACCAATTAATATTAATGACTCATCACAGTGACAGCCTTGATGTGTGAGCAACAGGGTTGCTCATTAAAGGAACTGTCCCTGTGTGAGCCCACAAGGAGTGGGCAGTTTTAAATCATCACAAACCTCTGCTCCTTGTGCTTCTTAAGTGCTTTTTTTTTTAATGTCCTGTGTTGAGTTTTATGTAGTTTTGTGGTCTAGGACAGACTGGGAAAGGATCCATTACACTTTGGTCAAGTTTGTTGCTTTTAAATGTGTTATAGAAATAAAAGTGACGTTGACATCTACAATTCTTTTACAGTTGTCAAGATCCTGTCTTAGAAGTGGGTTGTCATTGGTTTTTGAAGTAATGCAAACACAAGATTAAAAAGGAATATAACAGTGTGGGATGAGCAAGCAGCATTCACTTTATTATTCTCTGCTATAGCCAGGAGACACTGTTTCTTGTATTTGGCTGGGTAACACACCACTGGGCACAATACATTTTTTTAAGACAAGACAAGGAAGGGTCTTTACAGCTCTAGTAAAATTTTATATAGTGCTTACATTACTCAGAGTAACAGGTAATGATTGGCTCAGATATTTACACTATTTTTCTCTGTTGCAATGGTCACTGTGTCAGATTCGGCAATTACAAAGTCATGAATCTT